CATGCTTTTTAGAAAATGATGTTAGAATGCTTTTACAGAACACAAAGGTGAATGCACTGTGCTGTTGTTATTATTGTTGTTATTTTTACCATCAGTGTTTTCCCTTTTCCTTTCTGTATTTTTCGTGGCATTGCCACGCACTTCTGCAAGACCTCTTAAGTCTAGTTATGGATGAAATCTCATTATGATGGATATAAGGAGCATCAAAAGAGCAATTTTAAAGAATCTGCTGCTTATTGTGGCTGGGATAAGCCTGTCCATTTATTTAGGCTCTGCCCTAGTCCTGTTCCACCTTTCCTATATTTTGTTTCTTTGTTCCGTGACACAGTTGGTCAATGGGGTGGCATACATTTTTATCACCATAACAGAAAGCTTGTTTCCTATTATCCATGGAGATGGAATTTAAGTTGCATCTAAGGAGGAAGCACTGGACTTGATATTGCTAAGGGACTTAGAAACATGGGTATTTTCAAAACATGACACCAGGTCATTGATTCAAAACACTAAAGCAAGAAACTGGAACTGAATCAGTTCAAGGAACCCTTCCCCCCACACTATTCTCACTTTCACTTACATAAAATACACATGGTTTAAATCTTCTTGAAAGCTTCTGAGGGCTCCAATCTCAATTGTTAGAATCACAGAAAGTAATATTGTTTTTCCAGTTTGTGAAAGGAGGAGTAATGGACCTGAAAAATCTTTCATTGCCTAGCTAGATATCGACTTAATTGACTTAACATATTGTACCTACTATTTGAAGTGTTGGTAGCATAAAGTTTTATAAGTCCTGTTTATTCTGATTCCTTTTGAATCACATAAAATTTTCTTCTTAGTGAATGTTGGAAGGATGTCCAAAATGGGCATTTGCTCCCTAGAGGGCATAAAACCTGACTTGTCTGAAGTTCTTGGAGAAGTCAGAAATACCGTGGCATCCTATGTATTTTTTCACTTTCTACTGAGAACTGTAGCTCTGAAATACTTCAATGAAATCCTTCAGTTGCATCACCCAACTCAAATCAGTAGATATAAAGCTTTTTCCCCCTGATTTCTGAACTTACAGGTCCCAAGTGAATGGAAACTGGTGATTTATTTCTGCTGAGTAGCAATTTGGAGAAGGTGCTTTTGAAATTTTGTCTAAGTAAAATTTCAGAGAGGCTCCTTTGGATATTTTTCCTGGGTTATAATAAGCAGGATGGAAAACATGGCTAGTGTCTCAATCGTTTTGTTGGATCGGCATTAAACCTAACTTCACATTGATATTTCTGAAAATTTTTATATAAGAACCTGGAAAAACATTATATATGCATACTTTTCCTGCCCCTTTTAAAGCCTTGAGACAGGATTGAACATTACCATGTTTTTAATGCTCATTAGTAAAGCATGTTTTAGAAATAAAAGAAAAATTCATAAAGGGGCTTTACTATTTTCTTTGTAACTTACAACTACCCTAGGGCTATAGATATAGAAATGCAATTTTTAGTCATCCAAAAGAAAGTTTATTTTTAAAATCTCTGTAATAATAATTAGTTAATTGTACCTTACTGATTTCCACTAAATATTCCATAGTACTCCCCGGAGAAGCCACTTAAAGACTCTGCTGTGCTATGCAGGGACCTTCACCATAGAGTTAGAGTGGTTCTGATGGTTAATGTGTGTCTTGCTTGTACAGAGTACATCCTGTGGCAGGTAAAACAGGATATATTTTGATGAGTGGCTCAGTGGGGGCACATCTGGTTAGGAGCTTCACATTATTTTTCTCAGGAAAAAGTAGAAATGACATAAGTCAAGTACAAATTAGCAGAGATGGAAGTATGCAGAGGAAAGAAATATAACTATACACTGAGATTCAGAATGGTTCCTTTACCATGTGGCATAGAAATGCCAGAATTATCCTACATCTCTGAGCCTATTGTTGCAACTATAAAATGCAGACAGTGGCCATTTTTTTGTAAAAATTAAATGAGGTACACTCTATGGAAATCTTTGGCAGACTACAAGATCCTGAATGATTGCTGGATGACTTCTTAAATGTTGATCAAACTGATACTGATTTCTTTGAGACTTCATATGTTTTAAAAAAATTGACTTTTAAATGAATACTTATAGGTTTGCAGAATTGAGGCCTAAAATGTGTGTCCATATTTGTAAGGGTAATAATAGATGGCAGTCATGTATTATTGGAGAAGGTGTTATACCCCACCACTCTGTCCGGATAAAACTATTGAGGAAAATTAGGACCAAAGAGATTAGGCCAAAGCTCGACTGTTATTTATTATCTGTGTGATGTAAGGTTAATTTTTTTGACTTCTCTCGGGCTTTTTTTCCCTTCTGATTGGTCGCCATGGTTGACCATAGGTAACTGAAACAGCAGAAAGTGAAATCCCGGGTAAGGGGGCACTACTGTAAATGGCTCTGGCAAATTCACAAGTGCTATCTACAGTCAAGAGTGTCAACAGAGTTCCAGGATTTCATGTGATTGCACATTAAAGTGCCTAGAGAGCTGGAATGTGCAATCCACATTTCACAATCCTTGACCTTGGCCAGTCATCTGAGATATCACCCCATTGGGAGTACATGGGGCTTTGACCACATTGCTTAATTGAGTGCCATGGGAGGTGTTAGCTCATCAAGTGAGATATTTCTATGAATCAGTTAAGAGCTGGCCTAGCTGACTTCCATGGTCCCAATTCTGAGAATTTAGAATTCCAAAATTAAAATATGAGAACATCTTCTGTGACTTAATTGAGCCTGAAAATAAAATCTTCAAGATTATTTAGTACTAGCATTTTATAGCAGAACATTTGCAGAGCAAGTCAAACAGTCACCACCAGTGTTTAGAGCAGGCTACAAATTTCCACAGGAAATAGAGAGTTCTTTTTAATTTTAAATGTAGGAATTGGAATTGTTCATTTTCTTATCCATATGTTTTGTGTATGGAACTATCCCAGGATCCTTAAGCCCAGAAGGTCATCCCGACTCCACCCTGTTATATCTTTGAAGTTCACTCTCATCTTCCTCTTCTTTTTACCTTTTCTACAGGCTCCCAACCATTCTTTTACTCACATTCTCCCTGTCCCTATTGCCCAATACTCCCCTCTCTTTTTCATTTGCTCAGTTTTAATTATGCACATCCAAAAGTATTGAGGATTAAGGTCAGTAACACTAATCCTTCCATATTTTTTTCCAGCAGCAAAGAAGTTTTACCTGGGACATTTGGGGAAAGGGAGAAGGAATGGTATCACAGGTCAACCATTTGGGATAGAAAAAACAACTTTCCCTTTCAGACAGGGGCAGGCTGCCTGCTCTTAACCTCTTTGGAGGAGCCTTTTCCTATCATGCTTTTCACTCTTCTCTTACAGCAGTTCTGGCTTTCCCTTCCCCCACCCTTTGCAGGCTGTCCTCTGGCCGTCCTTCAGCCCTCTTGCCGCCCTTCTCTTTGAGGCATCAGTGCTGGCTGCACAGCTCTCGTTGTGCTTTTCCAAATTCTTCACACTTCTGTTGCCAGTGTTGGAATGATTCATGATATCTGCATCCAAAAAATTAGTTCTAGAAAAAGATCTCCCTGGTTTTCTGGTCTCATTTGGCTGAGGTATTCAGAATCTTAAGCCAGCAAGTGGGGCAGTAGAAAAGTTGAGATTCTTGATGGCCTTTTGCCCTGCTTCCCTCATGGTTTGCCCATTTGCTGAGGTATCCAAACCTGATGTGAATGTCTCGGTCTAAAGTATAATATTCCCTTCTGGTTATTCTGTTCATTGCACATTCAAAATAAAATAAATGTGTGCTATTATTTATTTCACAATACCCTTGCTTTCAGCTAACAATTGCATTAATGATGTTTGAGGAATTAATATTCCTTTTTTGGCCTCATCAAATTATTTTGTGTCATTGGTTTCCTTCACTTTCTTTTGAATAGTATATTAGTTCTTGGTGTAATTAGAAAAGTTGTTTTCTGTTCTCAGATTAAAGTCTGTGTTTTTTTTCCCTTTGCTGTGTCATTTCTAATTACGTCCCCTCCCCCTTACCAAGACCACCCAGAATAATTTTTCCCAGCCAAGTGTTTACAACCTTAAAAATCTTGCACAACATAAATGAAAAATGGCTGAGAATTTGAACTTTGCAAACAGTCATTAAGAAAGAGTCAGTACAGTGTATGGCTGTGATGAATAAAACTGTGTATTTGACATGACTATTCTGATAAATTTAAGTGATTCTTTGAGCCACTATTGCTGCAGCCTGAACTATCAGAAATCCTTTCAATGTTTTGATACTGCCACATGTTGAATTCTATTACATTCTCTGGAGGGCTTCAATAATATCCATGGCAGTTACAATGCCTGGAATCTTTTATTCAAATTCATAAATTTCTTCCCTGCTCACTTTTTAGCAAATGGAAAAGGTACTTTTACTGATAATGTTTAGCTTATGTAGTAGGATTTGAAATTTCTAGTTTAAGCAATGGCCTTGGCCAATATGTTTCACAGAGCATCATAATTTGTTCAGATGTAGAAAAGGGATATATAATTTTATTTCAGTGAAGAAAATTAATAAAAAGAAGTTGGCAGAACTGGTGAAATATGTGACAGGGTGAGAATAATAAAAGCCCATGTTAACATAAAATGTAAATACATTTGTTTGTGTACTTTGGTATGCATTACCGTTAGTTCTGCCAATAAACATTCCAAATTTACTAGGTTTTACAAACATTTCTTAGCACTAGGGCTTCATGTGGAAAATAATAGTAAAGTAATAATGCTTTTAATATGTTTATTGCATGCCAGGCACTGTATTAAAAACCTACACACGTTACCCCATTTGATTCTCAGGACAACTCAGTGTAGTAGATACTATTATCATTCTTACCTGACGTATTTGGGGCTCTGGTTAGAGAGATTAGGTAACTTGCTTAAGTTACTCAGTGGGTGAAGGCAGAATGTAAGTACCTTTCTTCCAGGTTACAGCCCCTGCCCTGGAGCATATTGCTAACCTGACTGAAAACTCACCTTTGAAGAAACAGAGACTCTCCACCTTGGGTTCCATGGCAACCTGCAGGAGGTGCATTTCTCTTCCTGTTTCCTTTCCTGTCCAAGCTATTAACCTGGCTCCTTTAAAAGAAGGAGGAAATGGCCTTTAAAAACTCTCTTAAATATCTCTTTTTCTTGAGCAAAGTGGAATTTACCATTCCCTCCTTTTATTATAGAGTTGCAAATGGTTAAATTGTCTTTACTTTATATCCCAGTGAGGCCGAGTCAAAATTTCTCCCTGGCTGAGAGTTGAAGTAGAGGACAGGCAGAGGTGTCCAGTCTGGGTTGGGAGTCGGCATGAGATCGGGGAGAGTAACAGAAGTGATGATATAAATGCAGGGTGGTGAAACAGGGCTGTTTCAACATTCTGTGTATTTCAACATTTAGGGCTTAAGGAAAGCCAAAGCTCTGGTGGACCGTTCTACTTAGGTTGCCAGTGGAGCAGCTCTATCTGTAATGTAATAATTCTAAAATGCCAGACATCTGTTCTTTAAAACTTTGAAGATCATGTTTGATCCTCAAGTGGAGTTTTATAGGACTATTGGGATAGACTTGGGTGTCACTGGAGGACAGTAGTGGGGACTTTAAATAGGAGAGAATCATTGAGGCCAGATCCACTAATGATTTCAGACTGATTCAGTTCAGTAGTTATCCATGTGACTGATTACAGCAAAAAGATTCACATTAGGAGCATTCTTCTGGTTAACTGCCTGATGTTATTTCATTTTATCCTCAGTAAATGCAATCCAGGATTACTTACAAATTTTTACTTGCAAAAGCTCTGATAATTTACATATTTTCTGAACAGGACTAGTAAGTGACTTGCAAAACTGTGGGAAAATGAACTGATGCTTTGGTACACTGTGTAATACACATAAAAATTATTGTATTATTATGCCCTGGCTGGTGCGGTTCAGTGGATTGAGTGCTGGCCAATGAACCAAAATGTCACTGGTTTGATTCCCAGTCAGGGCTCTTGCTTGGGTTGCATGCCAGGTGCCTGGTTGGGGGTATGCAAGAGGCACCCAGTTGATATATCTCTTACACAGCCAAGTTTCTCTCCCTCTCTTTCTCCCTCCCTTCTCATCTCTGTAAAAATAAGTAAATAAAATCTTTAAAAAAATTATTGTATTACTTTGCCTTCTTTCAATGTTCTATATAATACTTTTCTAATGTAGAAACAGTTGAAACCTATTTTGTTTCTTTGAAAAATATTCCTAAACTGGAGGGCATTAACACACCCACAAACTATAAGCTCTGAGTGTTGAAGAAGATTTCTTGCTGGTGAATGTCATGCCAAAACCTTTGGGTCCTTAACATTTGCTACATATTGATTAGACCTTCCTCAGAAAGGTAGGAAACAGGAGGAAAGAAGTTCAGTTGGTGCCTCTGTGTCATTAATCTATTCAACACATGCTTTAAGATTAAAATTTTGTTGCATTGATTCCTTCTGGAAATTTCATTAATAAATTGAGAGGGTTTAAGGTTTTGAGTCAAAGGACCTGGTTTAAGCTGTAGTTTTGTCACTAGCTAGTTATGTGTCTTTAACAAAATTACATATCATCTTTTCACTTATCCGTTCTCAGTTTTTCTGTTAAGAACAGAATTTCCCTTATAGGTTGGTTGTAAAGGTTAGTGAGGTAATTAATGCACACAAGTGGCTTAAATGGCTCATAAGTAGGAACTGGTACTTAAAAAAATCAAAGATAGCACATCTTTTGTCATCACAATCAGCATTAATTCTGTTGGAGGTTAACTTTTATTATATAAATGTTGACCTAAGATATGCAAACTTTCAGATGTGTACAGAGATTAAACCACTCTTTGTGGTCTTTATTTTTCATCTCATGGTGATGAAGAGATGCAACCTAAAACTGATGCAATCTGAACCTCATGGAGGGTGGTAAGTGTATATCTCACATAAACAGTCCTCAGGTTGGGATTACATACCCAAGTGAACTACCGTTCAAAGAGCTCTAAGGGTTGGAATAGAGAAAGGGCACTTGTGAGCATGGCCAGCCTCTCTGGAATGGCTCCAGGTCAGGTCCCATGGGCTCTGCTTCACTGTGGAGCATCTAAAGGCCACTCTTTGCTTCAGCTCAGAACTTTAGCTGGGGTTTTTGTTTCAGCCTGGGAGGCCTAACACCTGATTCACCCTCAGAACCTCTATGGGATCAAATACTCTTCAGTTTTAAAAACTTGCATCTGGACTGAAGGTCTTCTACCGCTTACCCTGCAACCCTGTGGGACCTGCCTTAGCAGAATAAGAGAGATCAGAGTTACGGTCAGAAGTAGCCAAAATATTCACAGAGTCTCTGGAACCATCTCCTCCTAAAGGGTGCATTGCTTAATAATGATCTGGAATGTGGGATCTATAAGAGTAGAGAGCTTAAAATAACTTAGCCCCTACATGCTATTTTTAGATACCTAATATAAATGTTCTGATTCAGGGTGGGCCCTTCTTTCAGAGTTGGAAAAACCCTACCATGTGGGTGGTCTTGGGGGTTCCACTTGAAGATGGGAAACTTGTCAGTTCATATTTCTATTAGAAGTTTCCTTTCTCTTGGTTAGAACTGTGACCTGCATATTTCTCTGATAGCCAGGCCTGAGACTCCAGGGCCATGTGAGATGGGAACATGCACTTACCACCGTCTAGTGTTTAAAGGAAAAAAAAAAGGACAAGGCTCCCTTTAAGAATTTTTTTTAACCTATCAGTGGAAATGACCATGAATATCACTTCTGACAGCTCATGTGGAGCTATAATCCAACACAAATGATTTCAATTCATATTTGGTCCACAGGGCACATGTGATATTTTACATTACACATTGTATGGGACTTATTTTTATATTGTATAGGTGTAATCATGTGAAACAAATTGCAGTGGTACAGGGAAGGTACAGAACAGCTGTCTAAATGCATTCTCTCTCCTCCATTTCCATCCTTCTGGGTGGTTTCACCTTAGCATCATGAGCTAACCAGTTGCTTGATTGACTGGCAAGAGAGTTCCTAACCATAAGGACTAGTAGCTTTATAAGCCTTTACTGGAAGTCAGCAGAGCCCTGTGAACATCCAAATCTGAAGTTGAACAAGCTCTCACAAAAAGCTGTCTTCCTGTAGAAATTACAAGAATAATATAACTGAATTGACACTTTTCCTTAAAGAATAAAGGCAATTTGGAACTTCAGCTCATATTCTAAAATTGATCTGCTTAGAAGGTGATCCTATGTCTCATCATATACTTATTGTCCAAGCATACTCATTCAAGGTTCTTCTAATGTCTTTCAAAAGTACCTAGCACTGTTTTAACATCTCCATGCCTCACAATACTTTCTAATTCTTTCACCAATAGCCTCTAACCTCCTTGTCTTTCTGCTGCATTCTACTCATAGGATCCAACATTTAAGCATCTGCATTTTACTTCTACTCTTAGACTTCTGGTCACAGATGGAAGAAAGATCACTCCATTCAAGTGTTCATATTGATGCTGTTAGCAATGACCAGCCTGGCTAGGGTGATCCTTCAATCTGTAGCCAGTCAGCTTTCACTCATATCCTTCTGGTGGCCTTTCTAGACCTTTCTTCTGCCATGCACCTATGAGCAACTGAAATTCAATTTCTGGCCTTGGCTGGTGCAATGTAGTAAATGTTGAATTAAATATTGAGTAAATATTATTGAATGAATGGAAACTTCATACTAATATTATTTTTATACTTCCTTCCCATTCAGTGGCAACTGATAACCTTGCCACCATTCTCAAGGAGAAGATAGAAGCCATAAGAAGATAAGGTCTCTGTGATCAGAAGACCTTAGATAAGAAGGTCTCTGAGAACTTCCTGCACCTCTCCTTTTCTTTATTTCTGACTCAATGAAAAAGGTATTCATTCATTTGTCCAGGTATAATTGTTTCAACTGTATTCTGAACCCCCTTGCAGACTATCCTCCCTAACTCCCCCATCAAACATTCATTTTGTGATCTCAACATGTGGTTTCTCCTCTCTTCTAGATCTTCAGTTATTTTATTTCTAATGGTCATCACTCTCAATACATATGTTTGTCCAAAGCTTTTAAAATTTAATCCTAACCTCCTCTTTTGAAACTATTCTCACCAATATCCCTGAATTGTCAAAACTAGTGAATAATCCTCTCTATTGTTGTGTCAATCTTCTCTCTTGATTATTTCCTGTTTTCCAACACTAGCCTGCCTTGGTTTGTATGATACTTTGCTTCTATGTCTCATTTCCTTTTCTTAGATGCCTTTATAGATATCTGCACATTTATTCATACTTCTAATGGACATATTTTCCAGAGTTCAATTCTCTTTCCTCATACTACACCCTCTCCTTTGGTGACCTCAGCTACACTTACAGCTATGATCACAGATGCTGTGATAATCCTAAAGCTGCATCTCCCACTAGGGTCATCCTCTTGGAGTCTCTGAGTACTCAGAAATTACTCATTTCTGGGTGATCTATGAATACTTTATAATTAAAATGTCTAAAACCAAACTCATGACCCTCTACATTCTCCTCTTATTTGTTATTGGTGATTGATGCTGTCTGTGCTCACTAAACCTGGAAATAACTGAGTCCCTTTTTTCTCTCTCCCTGATGCACTAATTCATCTTCAAATCCTGTCGATTCTGTCTCCTCCTTATCTGTCATTTTTCCCTCTTCCTTCTATGTATATTGTCATTATCTTGGTTCAGGCTCCCCTTATTTATCTGAACCCCTGCAATGGTTTCTAACTGGTCTCACTGTCATTTAAATTTATCTATCATATAACTGACAGTGTGTTTTTCCTGAAAGGAGAATCTGAACACATTACTCCCTTGTTTAAAATCTGTCCATGTCTCCTCTACCATTTAGGATCAAGTTCAAAATTCCTAGTAGGAGGCATAAGGCCTATATCGATGTGACCTCTATCCTCTTTGTAACATCATCACTCAGACATAGCAAAATCAGGCACTTGCCAATTCCCTTAGTGCTCTTTACATTGTGACTTGGTACAAGCTACCCCTTTGCCAAACCTACTGTCTTCCTATTTTACCCCCTGGCCCAGCTCACCCTTTCCAACAGGTTTTCCTAAACTTTGCAGAATATATCAGTCCCCATAGCATGTATCTTCAGATGCTGCCATTTCTCATCTGCTATAAAACTGTTGGTACCTCAAGTAGAAATTGTTTCTCTCTTACACATTATCTCTAGGCTAATCTTACCTCTTAACCCCATTTAACAGAGCTTCTACAAATAGAATTTTTTAATTAAAAAATTTTTTAGTCTTTTATTGTTA